CTTTAGACCTTGTTTAGACCTTGTTTAGACCTGGTTTAGACCTGGTTTAGACCTTTAGACCTGGTTTAGACCTGGTTTAGACCTGGTTAGACCTGTTTACCTTTGATTTTAGACCTGGTTTAGACCTGTTTGTTTAGACCTTTAGACCTGGTTTAGACCTGGTTTAGACCTGGTTTAGACCTGGTTTACAGTGCTTTGGATTAGACCTGGTTTAGACCTGGTTTAGACCTGGTTTAGACCTGGTTTAGCAGTGCTTTGGATTAGACCTTGTTTAGACCTGGTTTAGACCTTGTTTAGACCTGGTTTGGACCTGGTTTAGCAGTGCTTTGGATTAGACCTGGGTTAGACCTGGTTTAGACCTGGTCTAGTTTCAATTCAGCTACCTTTTACTTGCAAATCCAGCCCTGGATTTGCAATTCCAGGGCTGCAAGGATCCAAATGTTTCTCGTGAAGGTGTGTATGGAGTTATAAACACAGTGGAGCACTTCCTGTATTACCACGTGACATCACAAGGTGGAACTGAGTGTTTTCTGTTTAAGAGAAGCACTAAGAAGCCTAATTATGCTGGGTTTATGTTTTAAACATGTGTAAAATTATGAAACAAAACACAACTTCAGGTATGTTTAAGTACTTTCTTCAATACTTTGTACTTCTACTTGAGTAATATCATTAGGCCACTGTGTAACTATGGTAACCAGATGATTAATTAACTAATAAAGCCTTGTGGACTATTATAAACCCAAATCAATTATACACTGCAAATTAGCTTGGTCAAAATGTATTACATAAACATTTAAATCTATCAGAAAATGACTTAAAAGTAGTGAAATTATTTGTCCATGCAGCAGGATCATTTTACTTGACAAGTAATCTTAAAATAAACTACCTCTACACTAGAATTAAGCCGTCTCAGAAGTAGAAGTACATAATAAATCTGAAAACAAGATGAATAACCTGATATAAAATTTTAAATCTTGGCCACACTGCAAAAAACAAAATCTAGCCAAGTTAAGATGACTTGAATTAAGAAAGTTTTATGATGATTTGAGTCAATTTCACTTGACAAGTAAAATGATCTGCCAGTGGAACAAGACTTTTTGTACTTAAAATATGAAAATACACCTTGCTGCACTTAAAATAAGAAAAACAAGAACTTTTTGCACTTAAGAAACAAACTTGAATGTTGCTTGAATGAAGAAAAACACACTTATTCCATTGGTACTTGGTATTTCACTTGTCAAGTTGAAACTACTCAAAGTAAAATGTTTTTAACTTAGCTAGATATTGTTTTTTCTAGTGCAGATCAGAGAAATTTCCAGTGTTCATTTTAAACCTGATGCCCTTCCTCATATAATCATTTTTGCAAACTCAGAGCAGATTTCACTCGACACAAACACGCCTAATATCGGTGTAGGACACAGTGAACAAAACAACATAATTAGCATAAAATTGTTAATGTTTGCAAATCAGATGCTATTCTGGGATTTGTAAAGTGTGATTTCCATGAAAAACACGTCTCTCCGCGGAGTTAACGGCTAAACTGAAGCAAGCACCGCCGACAAATTACGAGCTAAAAGGTCAGGGAAAAGTCAGGGTTTTACACAATTAAAGGTGCACTGTGTAACTTCTCTGGTCGAGGGTCACCAGCTTCTCTTCATGTGGATGTAGCCTGGAATGTTCCACAGTATGGCATTACAAGCATTTAACTCTACGGAAACAGCAAGTGACGGCATAGGGCTAAGTTAGATGCCAGATCTGTGGAAAGGCGAGCCCATTCAGAGTAAGAATGCAAGTTTTTAAGTCAATTAAAATCCATGTTATTGAGGTTTAAAGGTGCATTATGTAACTTTTCTGGCGGAGGGTCCATCACTTGCTTGTTTCTATGGATACGCCATTGCTCTGCCTGGAATGTTCCGCAGTGTGACATTAAACAGCTCTACATTTACTCAATTACAGGTGGTTTTAGGGCTCAAAACTACCTCAAAAAACAACATTCTGACTGTGAGCGGGGTCGCCTCTCCACAGATCTGACCTGTAACTTTTTGGTTTGGTCTCCATGAAGATAGAAAGGTTTAATGCCGCACTGTGAAACTTTCTAGAGTAGAGTTGCAAGTTACACAATGAACCTTTAAACCTCATGCTGACTGAGAACTTTGCGTTAAATGCCACCAATACTTTTAAATGTTTAATTACAACTTTAAGTGCTGTGTAAGGAACTAATTAGCAGACGAGTTATGTAATATTAATGCTGGGGTTAGCCACGGTATGCCAGCCCAGCGGGTTGGCTTGCTTAGTACACATAACATGCTAAAATCAATCAATACGTCAATCAATACATGTTTATGGATGTTAAAGGGCTCATATTACGCTATTTTATGATTTGTGTTATAATGTTGTTTCTTCATCACAAACAAAACTGGAGTTGGGTTTTGTTTCATTCACACATGTTTAACGCGCAAACCCTGCATGTTCAGGTTCTTTAAGTTGTTCTCTCAAACAGAAAACACCCTGTTCCACCTTGTGATGTCATGTGGTGATACAGGAAGTGCTCCACAGTGTTTTTAAACTCCATACACCTTCTCTAGAATCACTTGGATGATTTCAGACCTCCAATCTCTAATGAGTAAAATGAGCTGTTAACTTGAAAACTACCACTTCATGACATCACAAGGTTGAACAGAGCATTTTGAGGTTTGGAGATGCAGACAGACTAATAATGAAGGATTACTCAAACACGTGTGAATGAAACAAAACACAACTCCAGGTATGTTTCTGAGGAGATAACAACATTCTATATAACTAGAGCAGGGGTCTCCAGTCTTTTTCCTCGGGTGATCTACCTTTACAAAATGAAAATCCCAGAGATCTACTAATGTTAGCAGTCACAAGAAACTGAGGGTATAGAAGAGCCGCAATGAGCTTTAGATGAGGTACAGATGGATCCCTATAAAACATAAACCTTTATTCAATTATTACTGCACAACATTAGGCTCAAAATTATATATTTACAATGATAACAGACATTTAATTCATCAAATTGAGTTATTCAGCACAATAAATATAATTCAGAAATCTCTTGGCGAGCTATTTGGGGGGCGGTGGAGAGATACTGGCAGCTTCCGAGCTACAGGTTGGAGAACCCTGTACTAGAAAGTTTGAAGTTTTATAGTTAAGGCAGTGGCCCCCGCCTTACATTACATCCCTCCAAATCCTCGCAAAACTATGGTCGTCACATGGAATCTCCACGCACCCCCTCCACTCCTCACTTCTTCTACATGCAACCCCACCTCCAGCACCATCTTGCAACCACTTTTCTGTGGGAAACACCATCCTATACAATGAACACTGTGGTCCAAAGTAAGAAAAACATCTGAGGAAGGCTTTTTTTTTTTGCCGAAACATTATTTAAAAATTTAAAAAACAGCTTTTGGACACCGATCATCTGAGTGTGCTATGCATTTTTCCACTTTTATTTCACTTTCCCTTGCATTTGCACCTCTACAAGAACTTTGGTGTGTGTTTTGTTTAATTTGGTAACCACAAGGGTCAATTTATGTAATATAGGACCTTTAACATTTATTATTACTTAAACTGGCAAAAAGTCCTCTGATCACAATAATTATTTTGAAGTTATTTATATTTAACAACATTCTTCTAGCCATTAGGAAAAATAAGTTACAGACTATAAGACACGTTGGCATTTATCGAGTAGGAGATCAATAAGGGGCCATGATTACTGCAGCCTGATGTAGTAATGACCCGCCCCATGACTGACGCTCATTCTCTTCCTGTTTATTCCTGCTCTAGGAAATACAAATCAATACAAGATTTACAAGATTACTAATTATCTCTATGCATTTTATAGTTTACAGACTTTGAAGGTTCACTATGTAACTTTTTTGTTGGGCGTTCACAATATGTCATTAAGCAGTTCTACCTTACGTTTATATAACTACAGGTGGTTTTATAGCTCATAAATACATAGAAAAACAGGCATTCTGACTTTTTTTTTTTTTTTTTTCATGAAAGGGCCCATATTATGCTGTTTCCTGATCTAGGTTATGTTTTTATCTCATCACAAACAGACCTGGAGTTGTGTTTTTTTTCTTTCACACAAGTTCTTCTAATTAGGGCTCAGTATCATTAAGAAGTTGATGATACAATACATACCTCGATACATAGGCCTCGATACGATACATCTCGATACAGTGAGCATTTGATTCAATACGATATATATTTCAAAGCAATTCGATACGGTTCAATAAAGAAAAGGCTAAATCATGTCTAAAGTTAAACAGTTTTGTGCAAAGTTAACATGAAAAAACTGCCCATTTTACTCATCAAAACAGTGAAAAAGCCAAATGTGTCACATAAATAAGCTAAAAAACTGTAGCGATGTTAGTAAAATATACCAAAAGAATACTCTTGATGATATATTGTTACAGCAGCCCAAGATAACGATACTGTATCATCACATTAAACGATACGATATATCGATATTTCAATATTCCTACTTCTAATACAGGAAGTGCTCCACTGTGTTTCTAAACTCCACACACCTTCACTAGAAACATTTGGATCATTTCAGTCCTAGAATTTCCAATCTCTATACAACTAAAAGTAAAAGGTAGCTGTTAATTTGAAAACTACAGCTTCATGACATCACAAGGTGGAACAGAGCATTTTGAGCTTTGGAGATGTAGACAGACTAATAAAAGGATTACTCAAACATGTGTGAATGAAACAAAACACAACTTCAGGTATGTTTTTGAGGAGGTAACATCAATTTTGCTTAATACACGTCCTTTAAAAGTACTTTCAGTAAAACTCTTATTTCGGTAATTTGTGCCAATTTACCAGAAAAATTACAAACGTCTAAAGGCCAAAGGCTGGACATGTCAGCTCTAGAAACCTAAATCTTAAACCAGTTTGAACCAGAAAAACAACAACAACAACAATAGTAAACGGCTCTTCACAATTGCGCCCGCTGCTGTCCTCACCTAAGTCCGTAGAGCACGGTGCCGTCCGGGTGCAGGCGGATCATGCGGTTCTTCACCGTGACTCCGTGGACAAAGGACTTCTTGTCGTTGAGGAAGTAGGTGTCCGGGACCCAGAGCTGATCGGCCACGCGGTTGTCCAGGGTGAGGTTCAGGGGGATGCCCACGTACGCCAGCCTCTTGTCACGCCAGTACTGCTGGAAGTACATGGTCAGGGTGTAGTCCTGTGGAGAGAGGGGGAGAGGGTGAGGAGAGGTACCAGGTACAGCAAAGAGTACGGCAGTAGTTTTAGTGTTTTACGATATTGTGAGAAGAAACATTAGAATTTAAAGATTTGTGGTTATTGACACTAAACAACAGTGAAATCCTTAATTTTATTTCATTCACATTCACAACTAGGGCTGGGTATTGTTAAGAATTTGCCAATACGATACAAACCTCGATACAGAGCACTTTCGATTCATTACGATATTTGTCAAATTGATTCGATACAGTTCAATAAAAATATGTCTGTGATACTAAAAGTCTTTGTTAAACTACTTCTTGTGCAAAGTTCACATGTAACACAAACATTTTAATCATCAAAACAGTGAAAATGTCAAACGTGTCGCATGAATGAGTTTCCTTCCTCTAAACAAGCAACGAAACTGTATCACTGTAACAAAATAATTGATTAAAATATACCAAAAAAATACTCTTGGCGATATATCGATACAGCAGCCCACGATATCGATACTGCATCATCACATTAAACGATATGATATATCCATATTTCAATATTTTTGCACACCCCTTTTCACAACACTTCATCGTTCCTCTAGTATGGGACCAGATTATGAAATCGAACTTCGCATTGTGTAACTTTTTGGTTGTTTCTATGGAGATGTCATTGCTCTGCCTGGAAGTTTCCACAGTGTGACATTAAACCACCTCTACCTTACATTTATTCAATTGCAGGTGGTTTTATAGCTCAAAAATACCTAGAAAAAAAGACATTACTTCTGTGAGCGGGATTGCCTTTTCACAGATTTGACCTGTAACTTGGTTTGGTTTGGTCTCCAGATAGAAAGACAGAAAGGTTTAATGACATACTGTGAAACATTCCAGAGAGCGGTCGCTTGTATCTGCGATCTTGTCCTTTCGGTCATTACCCAGAGCTCATGATCATAGGTGAGGGGAGGAACGTGGATTGAGTGGTAAATCGGCTCAGCTCTCTCTTCACCACAACGGTCCGATACAGCGACTGCATCACTGCCTACGCTGCACCGATCCACCTGTCAATCTCACGCTCCATCCTCCCCTCACTCGTGAACAAGACCCCGAGATCTCTGGGTTTTGGCAAAAGAATTTATCATTTCGGAGGCCAATAATTCTGGTTGAAATTTTTTTTTAAAACAGAAATTTTAACAGAATGTACCTTATTTTCTGGGCTATTATTCACGCTCTTAAGCCTTCAACCCCATCAAAAAACGACTGCACGCCCTATACACGAATCCACTCGGGTGTCAAAGCACGACTTCAGTAAACTACAACGCCGCACCACCTGCAGCGCACGCAAACACGCACGGAGCAGCCACACTCGTCACTCCACGAGGACGAGGAACGGAACGGAGGAACGAACCGAAAAAGCGAGTGCAATGTGCCACTTCTAGACACAACTGAACAACTGAGTCACTGCGAACACGCCGACAATCCAGCGGTCCCAGACAGCACCCTCCCTACACGCCACAACTGAACAAAGTCAAGACTCACCGTGAACGCACCAAACAAAGTCCGACTGACCCATCAAACTGTTGTGTTTCGTTTAAAGTCCAGTGCGGTTTATTTGTGAAAAAAGTTCGAAAATAGACCATTTAATGACATTTGTGCGCCTTATAATCCAGAGTGCCTATTAGCCAGGAAAATATGGTACAGTCTAGAAACACAATTTATATGTAATTTTTGTTCTGTTTTCAGATTGAGCCGTTCACTCAAAAAAGAGAAGTCATTTTGCGTCTTGGAATCTGCTCACCCAAAACTGTGCTGCGTGTCTTCCATGCAAAATTTGGGAAATCTTCAACAGGCAAAAACAAACAAAATCCCATAATAAACTTTTGATATTCAACACCTAAACTGTTTAATTTCACTGAGCTCGACTTCGTAGTTTAAAGACGAATGCTTTTAAAATGATGTCAAATTTTTCGGGACACCGTGTACTATTTATTTAAAAAGGGTTCACTGGGATTATCTTGCTTTATTATTATTATTATTGTGTCAGTGTCTTGCCCAACGACACAACAGCAGAGACAGACCAGAGTGTGTGGGTGTGTGTGTATCCAACATATAATAATAATAATAATGGTTGTATATATTGTGTTTTTATCTCGGTGTAAACAGTCCCGTTGTGGACAGCAGCTTTGAAACTGGAGTTGTGTTTTTGTTGTGATGACACGACTGCAGCCCACAGACTGGAACAGACACAGCCAACTGATTCAACGCACGTGCCAAATCTCTCTCTTTTCTGTCTCTCAATCCTCCTCTCCTTCTCTCTCCTCTTTCATCCCTTTGTTCTCTCCCTTCTGTCTGTCTTTCGCTCACCCCCTGCGCTTTTTTTTTTTGTGTGTGTGTGTGTGTGTTTCTCTCTCCTTTCTCTTCGTTGCGTCTTTCAACTCCGTCTCCCGTTTCATCTCGCTCGGTTTCTTTCTCCTTCGCCCTCCTTTCTTTTCTCTCTTCTTCCTCCGTTGCTTTCTGTCGCTCTCCTCTCTCTCTCTTTCCATCTCCTCATTCTTGTCTTTCTCTTTTTCTCTATCTTTCCGACGTGTACAGTATGTCCTTCTCCTCTTTCTCTCCATCTTTCCTTTCTCTCTCTTGGCTTTTGTTTTCTCATCTCTCTCTTTCCCTCGTCTCTTTTCTCCATCTTCCACTACCTCTTTTTCCTCCCCATCCATCTCATTTTCTCTCCATCTTTTTCATCATCTCCCATTGGTTCTTATCTTCTTGCTCTTTTCTCTCTCCCCATCTTTCCATTCTCTCTCTCATCATCTCTCCCTCACCATATTTCCTCTCTATCCCCCTCTTTTTCCATCTCACCCTACCTCTTCGTCCTCCACATCCTCCCCATCTAATCTCCCTCTACCTTATATTCTCTCCATCTTTCCCATCTATCTCCCCGTAGTTCTTCTCTTCCTTCATCCTTCAGTCTTCTCTAACTCTTTCTCTCTCCACATCTTTCTCTCTCATCATCTCTCCTTTCCTGTCTCTCCTTCCCTATACTGCACCCCCCTCTCCTCCTCTTCCTCCTGTCTCTCTCTACCCCCCTCTTTTTTCCATCTCAACCTATCTTTTCTTCATTCCCATCTTCCTTGTCTATCTCATTTTCTCTCCATCTTACCTATCGTTCTCCCTTACTACTTCTCTTCTTTTATCCAGTCTTTCTCTACCACTTTTTTCTCTCCGCATCTTTCTCTCTCATCATCTCTCCCTTCCTGTCTCTCCTTCGCCATTCCCAACTCTGCCTTTTTTCCATCTCCCCACCTATCCATCTTTCTCAATTCTCTCTCCCTCTCCACACCTCCTTCCTCCTCGCTCTCTCTGCCCTTTCTCTCCCAAATCTCTGCTCTCTTCCTCTTCGCCCTCTCACCATCTCTCCCACCTCTCTCTCTCTGCCCTTCCTCTCCCTGTCTCCATCTCTGCTTTCCTCCTCTTATCCCTCTCTTCTTCTCTCCTTCCTTTCTTTCGCTCCCCTTCACACCTCCCTCATCTCCCCCTCTCTCTACCTATCTCTCCATCTCTCCTCTCCTTTCCCCTCTCTTTATCTCTCTCTCCTCTCCTTCTCTCCCTCCCTCTGCCCTTCCTCTCCCTCTCTCCATCTCTCTCTCCCCTCCTCTCTTTCTCTCCCTCTTCTTCTCTCGCTCTCTCTGCCCTTCCTCTCCCCATTTCTGCTCTCCTCCTCTTCCCTCTCACTCCATTTCTCCTCCTCTCTCTCTCCTCTCCTTCTCCAAATTCTCTCTCTCTACCCCCTCTTCTCCCCCTCTCTCCATCTCCGCTCTCTTCCTCCTCTCTCTCTCCTCTCCTTCTCTCCATCCTTTCTCTCTGCCCTTCCTCTCCCCCTCTCTGCTCTCCTCCTCTCTGTATCTCTTCTCTCCTCCCCTCTCTCCATCTCTCCTTTCCTTCCCCTCTCTCCATCTCTCTCTCCTCTCCCTCTTCTTTCCCTCTGTGCTTCATCTCTCTCTTTCTCTCCCCTCCTCTTCTTCTCTCTCTCTCTCTGCCCTTCCTCTCCCCATTTCTGCTCTCCTCCTCTTCCCTCTCACTCCATTTCTCCTCCTCTCTCTCTCCTCTCCTTCTCCAAATCCTCTCTCTCCCCTCTTCTCCCCCTCTCTCCATCTCTGCTCTCCTCCTCCCTCCTCTCTCCATCCTTTCTCTCTCCCTCTCTCTCCTCCCCTCTCTCTCTCCACTTCTCCTTCCTCTCTCTCTCTCTGCCCTTCCTCTCCCCCTTTCTCCATTTCTCCTCTCTTTCCCCTCTCCCTCTCCCCCTCTCTCTCCTTCTCTCCCTCCTCTCTCTCTGCCTTTCCTCTCCCCCTCTCTCCATTTCTGCTCTCCTTCTCTTCCCCATTCTCTCTCCTCTCTCCCCCCTCTCTCTATCTCTTCTCCTCTCTCTCCCCCCTTCCAACCTCCCTCTCTCCCCCTCTCTCCCTCTCTCTCTCTCTCTGCCCTTCCTTCTGGTTTACAGTAACCCAAACGGTACAGTTCCATTGTGCAGCAGCAGCAGCAGGAGTGTGTGGGCAGGCTGACTCACACACTAATGCAGCTCCACACAAAAAAAAAAAAAAAAAACCTAAAAACCACAACATTCAAAACACGTAAAACCCCAAACGCCGCCATACTTCATTAGCGGCAGTGGAAAAAAGAGGTCTGTATGATTCACGAAGCCGGAGAGGTGAGCCTTGATGCTGTGAGTCCACTTTGAGCATATGGTGCATTTCAAAGCAGTATTAGTAATTTGGAAGTGTTGGTGTAAAAACAACATTCACAGCCAACTCAATGACAACTCATATGAAGGACGTGGGGAACAGGACTGCTTTAAATACACGGGACTGTGCTGTTTCTCTAGTCAGATATATCACGATGAGATGAGGGATAAAAAAAAATGCAGTAAAAATACCAGCATTGCAATATTGGCTAAAGAAGTGTTGTCTATTTTATTTTATTTTATTTTTTTTTTTTTAAGTAAAATACAAAAAGTCAG